TTACTGAAAATCCTGTTCCCCTAGTTTGTAGAAGTCAGGACTAGGAATTGGTCGTAGATCTTACATCACGTAACGTACCACGAAAAAGTGATCTACCTTAAATCGTAGAACCTCATGTAGATTTGTTTACATCAGTTCAAAGTGTTGGCGTAACGAAGTTGGTAGTGTCAAGGTTTACCAATACTGTTGTCTTAAGTTTGAGTCTAGGTTCCGGTGCATGGTAGTTGTTTGGTGGTGTACTTTATAACTAATTTCGATTAATTTTTTATTCGTCGTAAACTTAAATCAATAAATTCCTCCATTAAAAAAAGTTTCAAAATAAAGCTTTGTAGTGATTATTGGATAATCGTTAAAAGGTTGAACAAGCGCCTTTCAGGTTCACAAACAACTAAACAGCAGAATAACAGCTGTATAGAAGCGTAAATCGATATGCAAAAGATCTTGTCACAACCGTCCCAACAGCCATAAGTAACTGACTAAATTCGCCAGATTTGTTTGTTTTAGAGGTTACCTTATACACCGTATGAAAAAATTATCGCCTAACTGAAACCTCCGTTTGCGAAGTCTTTTTTTACGCAGTGTTCAATTTAGGTCCCTCTTTTTACGAAGTAAATCCCAAATAACGGGGTTTTCTTTTTACGAAGTAAATTCCATATAGCGAGTTTTCTTTTTTTTTGCGATTTTGGGATATACTGTGAAATTCCCCACAATATGGGTATGGTTGGAATCGGAGTGACGTGAAGGAACCGAAATCCCTCTCTGACACCATTTCTATATTCAAGATGGCGGCTTCCGGCTACAGAAAAACTTGGAAATTCTGTCAACTACCCAACAATAAGGGTAATTTTGGAAGCGGAATGGCGTGTAGGGATCAGAAATCTATGTCTGACGCTATCTTGAATTTCAAAATGGTGTCAGACATAATTTTTCAGCGCTCATACGTCACCTCGAATCACAAAATACTCATATCGTGAGGTGTTCGACAGTTTTCCCAGTGTTTCTGTAACCGGATGCCACCACCTGGGATTTCAAAATGAGGTCAGACATAGATTTTCAGTTCTCACACGTCACCCCGATTCCAAAAATACCCATATTGTTGGGTATTTAACAGTATGTTTCTGTAACCGGAAGTCACCATATTTGATTTCAAAATGGTGTCAGACATGGATTTCTGGTTCTAACACGTCTTTCCGATTCTTAAGATACCCATATTGTGGGTTATTTACCATTTTGATGTAGACTACGTCTTACGGGAAGGTACTCGGGGTAAATCGAAAATCTAAAATTGATAGGAAATAACTTTTAAAATCTGCTGCAATAAATGCTTTTCAAATTCTTCATAAAAAAACTGTTGAAAATGTACAAATAAAAAGTGATAATGTTATCACTGTTTTCATTAAATAAACGTTCTCCCCAAACCCAGTCGTCATAATCAAGTACAAACTAACGATTTTAAATTGGCTCACTACTTTAGTAGCCTATTGGTCCCAAGCAAACGATTAACGTACCCTATTCTAGTTGAAATTCTATTACTACACTATGTTTGTTTTGATTCGCTATGAAAGTTTGACAGATAACATCAGAGGTGTGTGGATTCATGCAGAACATGCAGGGGTGAGTGAAATAGCTTGGGACTGCTTGGGACCGTTGTTCTGGTACTGAGTGAGCCAAACATAATAATGATTTTCTTCGGGACCCAGTGGTCTTAGAGTTACCTCTATGGTTGTACATCGTGCTGCTTGTATCTGAAAAGGTATAAAACAGTGCTGTCTTCTCATTTATAGATTTCGCTTCGGACGGCGGGTGAGCAGGTAGCAGCAGTAGGAAGGCGGTTCCTGTCAAGCGCGCAGCGTTCGAGTTTTGCACCTCGAACCTTGTGCATCGTTCCCGTTGAGATCACTGGCTGCTGGCAGCCCGAGCAAAGTTCAGCATCAAAATGACAGCAAATCGAAATCAAGTTTTGATATCAACATCAAACTGAAATCATAATTTGATTTCAGTTGATAACAAGTTTTGTTTTCATTTTGCTGTACATTTGCTTTTCAAAAATATGTTATCGTGGGTTTGTTTTCATTGCCTTAGCATAACATCAAATTGGATACTTGTTTTGTTATCAACAGGAAAAATTGATATCAAATTGAATTTTCAATTTGCTCTCACTGATAGCAGAAATAGTTTTCAATGTGATGTCACAGGAAGATTTTTTTGCTCTCAAGTTTGATATTTTAACCGTTAAAACGACGAAAACGACAGCAACCGGAGTAATCATTATCAGCGAAATCACAACATCAAATTTAGATTTCAATTTGATCTCAGACTTTGCTCGGGAGCGGTGTCCCTCCATGACGCAAGCGCTTCGAAGTGGATCAACCTCCTTGCCTGAATGATAACGATCCCGCGTTCTACAAATCTCGATTACTTTTTCGAAAGGACATATCAGCTTTTTTTCTGTTTTTGTGTAACCGGAAGTCGCCATCTTGGATTTCAAAATGGCGTCAGACATCGATTTCCGGTTCCTACACGTCACTCTGGTTAAAAAAAATACCCCTTACTGTGGGGTATTTGACAGAATTTCCAAGTTTTTAAGTGACCGGAAGCCACTATATTGGATTTAAAAATGGCATCAGACATCAATTTACGGTTCCTACACGTCTCCCCGATTCCTAAACTACCCATATTGGCAATATTTTCAAAAACCTGTTTTTACGAAGGAAATCCCAAATAACGAGGGTTTTTTTAACGCACCAATTCGATTTACGAACCCCCGGTTTGGTTCGTGAATGGAGATCGCTGATCATCCAATGATTTCTGTGATTTTTGAAAACTTCTAGCGATTGAATCTGCTTAAAACTTTTCAGAAATTAAGTTTAATGATTATTTGAACTAACTCTCTAATTTATTTTGTCACAATAATTGTTGACATGCTAAATAATGTTTCGACAATGACCCATTCCCCTTACATTTTTGTATGGCGTATGTATTTATTTCCGAAGGAGAAAATCACAATTCAATTTGTTTCTTCTACGCAGTTGGTTCTTTTTAGACTCATAATGTAGAATTATAATGTGGCTTCCAAACGTACATGATTTTGAATTTCTCTGATTATTAAAATTGGGAGGAGCCATGCTTTTTAAAGTGTCCTTATATTAATTTCCACTAGTGTATTTACATTGTATACCCATCTTTGTAAGAAGAGTAAAATCAACCACCTTTTTCTTGAATCAATGTTTTCATACACAGCCTTCAAAATGCTTAAGTGGAAATCAGCTTAATTCATGTATTTTATATGATTAAAAAGTATGTCAAATCAAATTAAAGCTTGGGTCAATACCTCGACATGAATTGCTCCCCAGTATTCTTGGTTATCAATTGGTGTAGTTAATCGGAGTGGTTTAATTCCCCTGCCCTGCCAAGGATATTGTTGAATTGCTACCCTCTGAAGATTGTCTCCTTTCACCCTGACGTTAACGCTCTTGAACGAGAGCATTAGACTGCTCGCAACAGGGTTTCATTTAAGCAATTTCACAGTTATTAATTTAAAGCTTTCTATGCCAACCCTTTCATGATTTGTTCTTACACAGCAAAAAAATAATTTTGATATCACGTCAAAGTGGATGCACTACAATCATGTCGAAAATATGGTGTAATATTACTTGCTAAAAAGGACAAAATTATCATTAATACAATGCATGAACTGACATTACGCTGCTTTTACTGCATTTGTTTATTTATGTGGTCATAAAAATTACATGAAATTTTCGACATGATTGTAGTGCATCCACTTTGATGTGATATCAAAATTATTTTTTTGCTGTGTAAAGTTTAGCAAGCACAACGATACTCTATGCACAGGGTAGTTGACAAAATTTCCAAAACCGAAAGATTTTCTTGACCGAACTGGGAATCTTACCCTGACTTTAGGATACCTGAGCCTCCACTGAATGTCACGTTTTCAAGTTTCATACAAATCACAAATGTCCAAAAAGAGTAAAATTAACTTAGAAACCGGAACCAAAACTATCCGTGATTCTGGATTTTTTTTTATAAATTCGATAAATTTTGGCTTAATAGAATATATTTTGATAAAGCACATAAACAAAATGCTCAAAATAACGTAAACGGCAAAGGGTCAACTTGCTGTGCAAATTGCGTGCACAGCAAAAAAATAATTTTGATATCACATCAAAGTGGATGCACTACAATCATGTCGGAAATTTCATGTAATTTTTATGACCACATAAATAAGCAAATGCAGTAAAAGCAGCGTAATGTCAGTTCATGCATTGTATTAATGATAATTTTGTCCTTTTTAGCAAGTAATATTACACCATATTTTCGACATGATTGTAGTGCATCCACTTTGACGTGATATCAAAATTATTTTTTTGCTGTGTGATGAGAGAATTGCAATAAATGTGCGTGATTTGCATTACTTTTTGATCTCTATGAAATCTTCTCTTCACAGCAAAAAATAAATTTTAATATTACATCCAAGAGGATGCACTTCAATCATGTCGAAAATCTCATGTCATTTTTATGGCCACAAAAATTTAAAAAAATGCGGTAAAAACAGCGTAATGTCAGTTCATGCACTGTATTGATGATATTTATTTCCTTTTTGGCAAGTAATATTACACCATATTTTTGACACGATTGAAGCGCATCCACTTTGATGTGATATCAACATTATTTTGTTGTTGTTTTGAATACCCAGTCCAGTTCAATGAACATATGTCATTGCTTCGGCAAATCTCATCGTTGAGTTAAACGCTATTCTGCATAGAAAATAACCAGTCAAATTAACATTCATATTTACGCTAATAGCCTGTCGCATTTTTTTTACAAAGGATTTCCAAGGTATCAGTCGTAAAACCGGTTGCTCAACTTTAACGAGTTTTACGTCTGAATGTTTCCAGTTATTGCCATCTTAATCTTCTCTGTTTTGTTGGGAGTTTTTTTTTCGAATATTTTATTTTCCATTGGAAAGAAAGCTGCACGAGTAAACACATTGAGAGAGATATTTTATTTATTTATATGTTGATAACTTATAGCACGAGGTCATCAAAGCGGTGACTGATTTGAGAAAGTGTAGCATTAAATAGGATTACATTAACCGTCGAAAAATCTAGGTCGCAGACACGTTACACAGTATAACTGCTGGTATCAAAATTTCGATTTTTCATTTCCTGATCAATCCAGTTCCGGAAATGGGACACATCCGCATAGACACCTGGTGTTACTTCTCCGCATCCAATGCCCCATGCTACAATGCCAACCTGATGATAGAACTGATAAGAACCCTGAATGGGACACACGAGAGGGGATCCACCGTCACCCTTACAGGCATCTTTGCCAACTTCTCCACCGGCACAGATAAAACTGTTATGCAAGATGAATTTAGGTCCCAAACGGGTTGATCTCAACGAAATCTGGCACTCGTTATTCGGTACGATCGGCAAATCGATTTTCTTCAATATAGCCTGATATGTTCCTTCCTTGCCGAATACGTCTTTTCCCCAGCCGGAAACGAAACATCTCTGGAGATCGAATTTTGCATTTGGTGGGGGTAAGCAAACTGTTTGAATTCCTTCATCCAGAATGACAGGTGCATCCAAAAATATTAACGCAATATCATTGTACAGTCCTCCTTTGTAGTAATCCGGATGGGTAACAATCTCAACAACTTGGCGATCCTATGAATTACGAACATTAGAAAATGAATGAATGAAAATTTTTACTAAGCGGCCCTACCTGATGAGCATGGATTTCGTGCTTGGTTTGAGTATCCCATTCGCCTGCGCGGATTTTCAACTGAGCAGGAGATTTATTTTGAACACAATGAGATGCAGTTAGTACTACACTGGGATGAATCAAAGATCCACCACAAAGGTACACGTTTACCACCTGATCAAGGGCTTGTTCTTGCTTTAATACCGCAACCATCCACGGAAATTCACCGTACTCGGATTCACTGTTCTTAGCTCCCGTGATGCGGAAGCCAATGCCGTCGGGGTTTCGTTTTCCACAGACAGGGTTATCCATTGGTGGCACTGGTGGTCTAAAAGTCGAAGCCTTCGGTAGTTCGGTGATCTTCAAAGGAATCATGAGGTAAGCAAACATTCATTTTTATCCGAAACAATAACTTACAATATCTTCATCATAGCAGCATTGTAACAAGTAATCAACGCAAGGATTACTATCACTAAAGCGTATATCAATCTGTCCTACTCCACTCGTAGACTCATTCGTGCAGAGATATTTCTGAACACAGTGTTGACCTTGCTCACAGGTTGCCTAAAGGAAAAATTCGATTATGGTATAGATTGGTAGGTGATACAATTATTCAAATGTAATTACCTGCGAGCCTACTTCAGGAGCCGGGGGTGGAGGTGCTAGTGTATGTGTATCAATAGCAATCGGCGAAGAGGTAAACAAGCTATCGATGAGAGCATCCAGATCACCATCTTCAGCAGTGGCAGTAGTCACGAGCAACAGTAGAGCAAACGATAACGCAACGCCTCGGCTCATTTTGAACGCTGGAATACAAATGTTGAGTTTGATTTCAAAGCAAGCTGATTTATAAAACTGTACACTGCCGGGTCGCTGGCAGCAGAATATTTATTTTTTTTTATTTCAATGCTTGTACGAAAATACGGGATTTAGCACACGGCAACAAAACACGAAGCAAAGTATACAGGCTGTAGTAATGCCATCAAAATCCATATACAATGGTTATGCCGATAGTAAAATAATCTTCGCTATAGAACTTCATTCTTCAGCGGGAAAAAACCCAGCAAGACGCTATTTTTTAAACGATATGTTGAATCAGCCTTCTTCTTCGTCTTCTTCTTCATTCCTAGCACGCTGTAAATAGAACATTATGCCTGCATTCAACATTCAACTTTTTTTCCCTTGATTTGTTTTCTGTCGATCTTGTTTTCCGTGCTGAGCACGAATGCTACCGACGCCAGGGAGGCAGCTCCCACACCTGGACCCTACCTATCGACCCATCAACTCATGAACCGGAGACCAACGGCTTTACTTCCCTTCCGAAGGAAGGCGTGATCAGAGATGTTATGCCTCAGAACATCCCAGCGGCGCCGACTGTTATTGAACCCAGGCCTGCTGTGGTGAAAGGCAATCACGCTTACCACTACACCATCGGCGCCACTGGCAATAAGGACTTCGTATTGTGTAAAATTTAAATTTATCACAATTTATTGTATTTCAAATTATTTTGGCAAAAGAACATAACATTTTTATGAAAACCACTTATTATGTTTCGTCACAAGAATTTATTATAGAAATCATAAGTTTGACTTATGAAACATAATGACTTATGAATACAACAATACAACAATGGAATTTATAAGTCAGCTTATGATACTTAAAAAAGTATGAATCTTGAGCGTTCAGGATATTGAGTCCGTGATTCGCGATCACGTCTATGAACGCTTGAGAAATGGAATAGGCTAAATGCGTATAACAACAAACTTCGTAGTGCGATAATGATTCATAAGTCTTATATGCCAAAAATTATCATAAGTCTTATATGACAAACAATATCCTGGTTAATAAGGCATGCCTTATGTAATTCTTAAGATTGTTTCTCTAAGTGTAAGAATTAATTATGAATACCCTTTACGGTCCACGCTTAAATTTATAATATTTTGTTTATAGAGACATGACCCTTATGGAGCATTAGTCTCTGCATTTAATTAATAATGAGCTAAGAGGACAACAATAAAATATGTAAAGGATTTTGAGTGCTTATCTTCCCATTGTACGACACGGTAAGATTTTCAATTAAACTATCCCCCGTTTTCATGTGTTCATTTAAATATGTTCAGGGATGTTGGCATAAAAATGGTTAAGGTCAAAATATTTACTTTTAACTACAAAATCAAATGTAAGAAAATGTCAGCTTCCCTCCTCATATCTTAAGACTCTGCAAGAAATCATTCCCCCTCCTATTCCCTCACATAATTTGTGGATAGCCCCTGAACAAATTTTAGGTAATTTGAGACTTGCCCGGGGAAGAGATTTGAACTCGTTACCTTTAGCGTCAGAGGAATGAATGCAAACCACCTAACTAGATCTGGCGAAGACACATTGTCACCACTCGGTTGCCACCCCTTGGTGTCAAGTTGGTAAACAAAGCAAATCAGTACATGAGCTGTACATGACTCTCTTGAAATGACAGTACTTAGTTCGTTTTTTTTTCGTTCCTCGTGACTTGTTGAAGTTTTGCAGCTACACTGCACGTGTACCGGTCAAACGAAACTTATTTCAAAGATGGTTTCGCTAAATTCACATTACTCAGCATTTCAAGTCAACAGGAAAGTGTTTTTATGAGTTACAAACTGTATAAATATTTGCTTGTGCTGAACAAAAATTTCCCAGATTATATCAAACATGTGAAAGATGGAAAAGTTAATGCTTAGGATACCATGTTCTCGATACTTTTCAAAGTTCCAATTGATTTGCCTAAATTTTATGATATTCAATCTAAGCTGATCAATTAATTGCTCATAGTAAGATTACTCGATTTGGGTTGCTTTTTTTTTGCTGAACGGAAATCGGAGAGAATCGAGGCAAGTGTGTTCATCATTCAACAACGTTATAAATAAAATGCTTGCTTGAATTGTTGTCGAAAACGTAGACAGAACACGAAATAAAAAAAAAGTTAAAAGTCTGCAATGTCAACTAATATCATTTGCTGCGAAAAATTATGAAGAAAATACAACTAAAATGCAATTTAAAACATTTTTTGTTTGCGTGCAATTAAAAATTTTGATTAATTTTATAAGATAATTGATGAGAGCTAAATTTGAAAGGGGTAAAAATACGTATTTAGCACATAATCATGAAGTAATTTCCGAAAAAAATGGGGATTTCAATACCTCCTATCTAACAGTATAACAGTGCAAACTGCTTAGATTTTGACAGTTAAAATATTTTCGAAAACCATTACGCCTTCGCTAGAACGAGCTAACCACTACGCTACCCGAGCAAAGTCGGTTAACAAAATGAAAGCAAATCGATATTAAAGTGTGCAGTTCCTATCATAATGAAAACTCATTTTGATTTCAAATGTTGCGACATAAGTCTGATATCATATTGTGCTTTCATTATGCAGTCAAGACGTTTTAAATGAAAGCAACTTAACTTGAAGTTCTGCTGTTTACGTCTTGTTTAAAATTTAATTGAAATTCATCTGTCGTTGAACTAATGATTATCGTTTATCTGATTTGTTTAACACATTTTAGGTCATTCGTGATTTGCCCGCGGTGAGATTGGAGCCTAAGTCTTTCAGCTTGAGAAACATGAATGGTAACCATTTACTCTAGGCCCATATTCAGTTAAATGAAATGAAATGAATGCAAATGAATGCAAAATCAGTAATCAAATTGATTTCATTGAAAGCAGGATTAGTTTTCCGTTTGCTTCAACAGTGTAAAATTTTGCTCTCACTTTTGCTGTGTTAACCGTTAAGTCAACCAAAATGAGATCAACTGGAGTATTCAAAATAAGTTACACAGCAAAAAAATAATTTTGATATCACATCAAAGTGGATGCACTACAATCATGTCGAAAATTTCATGTAATTTTTATGACCACATAAATAAACAAATGCAGTAAAAGCAGCGTAATGTCAGTTCATGCATTGTATTAATGATAATTTTGTCCTTTTTAGCAAGTAATATTACACCATATTTTCTACATGATTGTAGTGCATCCACTTTGACGTGATATCAAAATTATTTTTTTGCTGTGTACATCATAACAGCAAATTTTGATTTCAATTTGATGTTCAGCTTTGCTCGGGTAGTCCATCCTCTCTGAAGCTTTAATTTGGCATTTTGATGAGGTGTGCGGATTTTGATTAATTTTTAGATATATTTTTTCTTAGGTATAAATACTTTAAAATCATAAAACACAACAAGTACACAGCAAAAAAGATGTTGATTATTACATCCAACCTGTTGCAACCAGGAAATTCTATCGATAACATTGCACGATGTACACACAAATCGCGAACAAATTTACATCCACGGATGTAATATATTGTCTGCTCTTCGCTATAACATCAATATTTCATACATTAGCTTGAATTACGTTGGTCGATATAAAACTTTTTTTGCTGTGTATTTATACACCTATGGTGAGATATGGCCTATCTTACATATTTAAATTACGACGATGGTCTCCAAGAAGGAAGTGCAGGTCAATTTGCCCAAAGAGATATTTGAGGTCATAATACCCATATGAGCAAATGATATTGTTATAAAAAGCACACGAAGTTTAATAGATGTTAGGTCAAGTGTCTGAGTTGAAGTATTAAATTTTTATAGACTAAGAATTCCTGACCATGAACATTCTTCCAAAACATGGAAATTTACAATTTACAAAATTACCTAAAATAATTCATGACAGAAAACTTTTTTAAATTTTGGAATATGAAATATATTCAAAGCTTATAACTTTAATCAAAAATTCTAGACGATGAATATTTTTGCAAATTTATCAGAATCTGAAATGTGACAAAACTAATGGATCATGAACATAGACAAATTCTCAAAACTCAGTGTTTTTAGAAAAGTTCAAAATACAGGCATTAAAAAAAATTCAAGGCAAGACGAATTCTCGCAGAATCCAACCCACTAGTTATACGAAGATCTAAAAATCTTGGATGGTTTAAATAAAAATTTCTAAGAATCCGTGAAACACTTCATTGCAAGGTGGGAAGTTTTCGTATAGATACAATTCTAATGATGATGGAGCAATGGAATGATTCGTTTTCCTTTCTTCTGTTTCCTTACGAAGAACGAAGTGCTCCATCATCATTTGATATGTAACTTATAGGGAAAAGTCTTAGCTAGCAAATGGCGTGCTAAGGAAACAAGCATAAATGACATAACATTTGAGGGGAGACGGGGTTGTTTCAGAAATTGTGACTGGCTATGTATTAGGTATAACTAAATACGATCAAAAATTGGTCAAACTTTTTTTCTTGATTTGATTTCCGTCGATTTTGTTTTCCGTACTGAGAACCAATGCTACTGACGCCATAAAGGCAGCTCACACACTTTGACCCTACCTATCACCTCGTAGACCGGGGACCAACGGCTTTACTTCCCTTCCGAAGGAAGGTGTGATCACAGGTTGTATGCCTTAAATCCCGGCGGCGCCTACTGGGATTGAACTCAGGCCCATTGGGGTGAGAGGCAATCAATATTATAATTAGAATAAAGGGTTAATTTTGCCATGTTTTGCCATATTTAAATTTTCATAAACCGTCAATATCAATATTGATTTTAATATTTCTTTATAACAATTACTTAACTTAAAAGATACAGTATTCCCAACAATTTGACTTGAAATCAATTCAGAGTGATAGACTGGACCTAACCTTCAAATTGGTACCAACCATTTTTGCATATATCTGCCAACATAATGTATAATACAGAATAATTTTAACAAAGCGTTTTGCAACATTTTCTTCAACCTTTGTGGTTGAAACCAGGTATGCCAT